ATATTACCATGCCAATCCCTCCGAGAGTTGTCATGACAGAAATGTGATGGTGGACTCGTGAACATTAATATTACCAGTGAGAGAAAGGCCTTTAGTTACTTAAAAGTTACCCTGGGGTCCTTTGCAACCTTGCAGACTATTACACGTCTTGCTTTTGGAGTGATCTTTGTTGGTCGACCACTTCTCCATTTGTACACAATCTGTCTGACTGCGGATTTGTCGAGTCCAAACTCTTTAGAGATGGTTTTGTAACCTTTTCTAGCCTGATGAGCAACAGCAGCTCTTTTTCTGAGGTCTTCAGAGATCTCCTTTGTTTGTGCCATGATTCACTTGCACAAACATGATCAGACTTTGATAGATCCATTCTCTAAATAAAACAGGGCAGGCAATGACACCTGATAGTCCTCTCACTGATTGAAAACAGCTCGAAACAGATGGACTCGAATTTCACATACTTTTACCACTCACAGATATGTAATATTGTATCATTTTCCTGAATAAACAAATGACAAAGAAAATATTTTTGTCTCATTTGTTTGATTGATTATATATATATATATAGATGTATATATAATAAAATGATTAATTATCTTAAAACCTCAAGGATACGTTAAATTAGTGAAAAGTAATATTAAGGACATTTATAATATTACAAAAAATTTATATTTTAAATAAATGCTGTTCTTTTGAATTTTTCATTAATCAAAGAATCCTATAAAAAATGCATCAAGGTTTCTACAAAATATTATTATTATAATGATTTCTGAAGGATCATGTGACGCTGAAGACTGGAGTAATGATGCTGAAAATTCAGCTTTGCATCACAGGAATAAATTACAAACCTGACAAAATTGCCAAAAACCTCCATTTGGGGACGTCCTCATGTATACAAATAAAGTTAACCCTTTTTATGAAATTGTAAAAATGCAGAATGTTTTCTGTGAGCGGTAGGGTTAGGGGTAGGGGTTTAGGTTAAAAATTGTATAACTATCTGTATATAAAAACAATAGAAGTCTATGTAATGTCCCCATTTAGATAGCTAAGTAAACGTGTGTTTGTGTGAGTGTGTGTTTGTGTTTGTATATATATACTGTGACACATACCTGCAGCATCACATATCCAGTTCCACACTGAAAAGAAAAGCAACATTTCTGTGTTACTACATAAATAATAGAAATAAAAGAAACTATTGCATTGACAGCCTTGATGACTATAGCTGCTGAATGTCAATGCATTTAAATGGCATTAAATTATTTATTATTTGAATGATGAACCTATAATCTCTCACCTATGTGTGGAATGTAGCCAATGCAATCTAAAGAAGATCAGCGAGAGAAAGAGATATTATCAGAAAGCCTATTCAATACACATTGATCATAAACAACTTCATGTCTAAACTAATAAAACTGCTGTATGTGATTTTTGGAATATATTGTATAAAATATATTCAAGAAAATACCAGACTATCCGGTATTTCTTTTTTGAAATTCCTAATGGTGCCACTATTGGAGCAGAAATCACTAACAGCATCTGTAGTTAACTATCCTTCAAAATCAATTCTGGGACATTAATGTCATTGCCTTCTCACCGATCTTCTGGGTCTTTTGTTTTTGTACCAGCCACAGTCTTGGAATGAGCTCCTACAAAAACACAGGTGTGCTTAATGTCAGTGGTGCTGGTTATTAAATAAATTTTAATTTTAATTTATTTTTGAATTTATGGAAAGTCTTTGAATGTGGTTTATGTTTCTAGAGGCATCACACCTTGTCCAGATGTTCCCCAAGCACGACCCCTATGAGCATCTCCAAGGCAGACTGCAGGTGTGACAGGTGACCCCGCTTCCACTGCAGCTCCACGTCATCCAGCATCATCAACCCCGCCTCCCCCGGCCAGATACCGTGCTGAGAGAGAAAGACCAGAAGAAAACATAGCTTGTTATAACACTTTAGAAACAACCACATTCAAAGTTTCCAAAAACATTCATTTGTGTTTATGCACGTGTCAAATGCAGGTCAGTGGAGTTGTTTGTAATGAGAGAAAGAGAGATGAGCATACTTCACTAACAGTATTTACTTATATTGAGTTACACACAAATTACTCATAAGAAAATAAAAACGACTCTGAGAAAGGAATGAATTATTGATTAGGCATGAGAAAGGTAATGCTATATTGAAAGGATGCATGTCCCTATAGACTCAAAGGTGTGTAATTTTATTGATGTTTAAATGCTTTCTGGTATGCAGGTTAATGTGTGACAGCTAATAGCTAACCATTTGAAGGCTGACCTCCCTGAAGAGTGTTAACACTGCATTTCAAATCATCTACAATTTTGTATATGAAATTTATTCAGGTATTATTGCATAATGCATACACTCTTAAAAATAAAGGTTTCACAGCGATGCCACTGAAGAACAATTTTTGGTTCCCTAAAGAACCTTTCAGTGAACATTTCCTAAAAGAACCATTTTTTCTTAGTGTGAAGAACATTTAATTATATGAGGAACATTTTTCCACTTTAAATAACCTTTTGTGCAATGAAAAGGTTCTATGGATTTTAAAGTTTCTTCATGGAACCATCAATGCCAGTTAAGAACCAAACAGTTGCTGGTAGCCACTGACTTTCATAGTATGAAAAAAGTGCTGCCAACATTCTTCAAAATATCTTCTTTTGTGTTCAGCAGAAAGAAAGAAACTCATACAGGTTTGGAACAACGGTTTTTGGGTGAGCTATCCCTTTAAAGAAGTGCAGAAAGTCTTAAATAAAGGCATGGCATTAAATGTTGCATGCACTGCAAAAAATAATCTTCCTCTGTATTTTTGTCTTGTTTTACAATTTAAATATATTAACATCCTCAAATCAAGATTTATTTACATACAATTTTAAAAGTAGTACACTGTTAAAAATAAGGGTTACCCACATTCTTCAAAATATCTTTTTTGTGTTCAGCAGAAGAAAGAAACTCATAGGTTTGAAACAACTTGAGGGTGAGTAAATGATGGCAAAGTTTCTATTTTTGGGTGAACTATCCCATTAAGAACTTTTTAAGACCGGCAGAAACCCTGGTAGTCTATAGTGTACACCATGTAGTATGCAGTAAGCTGTGAGTGTTTGGCAAATCTGTCATTATTTTAACTGAAAAACAATAGAAATCAGTGGTGCGTCTAATTTATACAGCTTAGCGGGCTGTGCATGTCTCTCTCAGGTCAGTCAGTGAGGTCGTTTGTAATCAACCCAGTCTGACAAGAGGGTCATAGCAAGGTTAATATCTTAATTCTTAATCAGAGAGCAACCCGAGACTAAGACCTATAGAGTGAGTAAGATGCTTCATTTACAGCATGGACCGATATTAAATTACAAACTCACAAACCAATTACTCCTGAGAAAATGTAGCCATTAATGTATTTATGGATATAAACTTATTTGCTATATAGAGGCCTATATAAACACTAGCAGACAAAAGTTTGTACACACTTGATTATATTATTATACAAACCTTTTGGTCTAGAGGCTTATGCTTAAATGACTGAAATTAGTTTTGTAGACTT